TGGGTATATTTACATCAATTTCTTCATTTATTTTCATCCATTTACATGCACACACCATACTAAAAGAAACGTAAAAGAAATAAATGACCTTAGTGCAAAGCTGGAGTGCACATGTACTAATTTGATTACGGTACTAAAATTGTTATGTCTAGTGCAAATTATAGCATGTTTATATTCAAATTAATCAGTATCTTACAAGAATCCCAACAATGTTAATTAAATTCACCCAAGTCATGTCACTGGCTTTTTATAAGAGAGAAGCTTAGTCACTTAAGAACTGATAAATATACAGGTACACGCATTAGACCTTGGGCCGGTGCCAACTGTCAAACGTACTACCTCCCCTCCCTCCAAGCCCCCTCGCTCGGTCCCTTCTTCTCCCCCAACTGCCCAGCGTTGCTGGAATCCTTGTAAAACAGTGAATAATTTTAATATAAACATCATGTATTTTGCACAAGAGATAAAAATTAATCACCTGTATCACACTACAGTTGTGATTTAAGAGTAAAAGTGTATATGTACGTATATAGTAATCCACATACACGTAAGTACAAGTATAAATAAAAAGTTTGTGATGATCGGTCGACGTCCATTTCGGTTAACGTCACGTTTCCAAGAACGTATCTAGGACGTTAACCGGCGCATGACTGTACATCTATAATATTGGCTTGAACCTTAAGTACCCCAGATCTTTCATAGACAAATGCCTTAACATTACTAAGAAATCTTTCTATAAAACCGATCCCAAGCCCACCCATGACCATAAGAATCTCTTAGTATTACCATTTCACAAAAATGTCTCTCAAATTCCTTTACAACTAAAAGCCTGGAACGTCAATGTGGCATTTAAAAACTCATGCACTGTTAAACAAATGTTAATCAAGAACTCCCCCAACAATACAGGTGGCTGCATTTATAAGGTTCCTTGCAAGGAATGTAATATGTTTTACTTAGGCCAGACAGGTAAAGATCTTGTAACTAGACTTAAACAACATAAATATAGTGTTAGGACAGGCCAGGAATCCAAGGCTCTGTTTGTTCATTTGAGGGATAATAAGCATTGCATTGACTGGGATAATGCCTCCTCAATATTACCTTGTAACTCAATTGACAGTAGGAACATTATAGAATCTAGTCTCATTAAACATACCGAATCAGTCAACATGAATTTGAGTAATGGTATGTACAAACTGGATAATTTCGTAATTAAGAAGATTTGTAACCAGGTGAGAAGGTTAGGTCAGCTTACCCTCTGACCTGACTACCGACTGCTGCGGTGCTTTTTGAAGATTAGTAGGGTCATTACCTAATACCTGACCATTGTGGACTTGATCTCACCCTCCTCTGTATATATATACCTTGTTTTGTACTTCTCCTTAGTCTGTACTCACCCCCGAAGATGTGAATTACATGAAAGCTTTTGGGAACTTCGTGTTTTCTTCTTTCTTTGTGGTTATCAGCATATACCTGGATCACGCGCACCCACAGTGATTTACTTGCATATGCAGTATAGTCTTCATTTACGCGGTCAATTGAACAGGACGTACGGGATTAATTGAAATACAGACTGGGCCGACCACCAAACTACACTTTTTCCGACACAATTCGTACGTTGTAGTAAAAATAACATCTTAATTTTATGATGGTATGCACACACAACTAATATTTAAGAGAAATATCAATAATATTAGGTTTTTTAACATTTACGTTAGAAGAAGAGATGGCTGGGCACACGGGGATGGGCGGTTGGTTCCGAGGCAGAGGGCAGATCATTGGCCCTCACCTGTATCACTTGAATCACCTGTATCACTATCCACCACAGAGGCTTGCAGGGCCTCTTTGTCAAACCCCTCAAAGTCCATATCTTCACTATCACTGACTTGGGCCGGCTGTGGTGGGTGGCGAGTGAAGAACTCGGTAATGTTTTGTTGACTGGACGACCTTGTGCGCACCCTGCCCGCGCTGCTTCCCGCGTAAATAATGGAATGACCGTGTAAATAAAAGTTGTCGGTCTGGCAAGGTGCTGTGTAAATGACCAAACGCGTAAACCAAATCCGCATAAATCGAGACTATACTGTATATATACAGTATAGTCTGCATTTATGCGGATTTTGTTTACGCGTTTGGTGATTTACGCGGCACCTTGCCAGAATGAAAATTTTGAATTACGCTGGTCATTGCATCATTTACGCGGGAAGCGGCGCGGGCATTGTGTGCATTAGGTCGCTCTTACGTTATCGCTGACGTCATATGACATAACAGACTGTGATTGGGCCACGCATCTTTAACACCCACGCATTCCCTCCGCACTAGCTGTGATTGGTCTAATGCAACATGACATGCCCTGCCACCAGAAGTCGCTGACCTAGCCGGGCCAGTCTCATTGTTCTCAGTCCGCGTATACAGTTCTCTCTTGTGCCCGCTATTCCCCTCACAATGGCTTCCGCTGAACCCCCACCACCCGAGAAAAACCTTGAATTACCTGGACCAAGCCATGGTTATGTGAAGGAAATCAATGAGTTGGGGGAGAAAATCAAGCTCGTCCTTGACAAAGACCCAGTCAATCATCGGTATGAAGTGTCTAATAACCTTCTGTTGAAAATTATGGAGCCATATGTCTAGATTTATCACGACAACATCAATGCTAGTTGTCAACGTAGTATTACGGACTTCTTCACCCGCAACCCACCACAGCCAGCCCAAGTCAGTGATAGTGAGAGTGAAGATATGGACTTTGAAGGGTTTGTCAAGGAGGCCCTGCAAACCTCTGCGAGTAGTGAAAGTGATTCACCAGAGGGCCACTAACCTGCCCTCTACCTCGGAACCAGCCGCCATCCACGTGTGCCGACCCATCTCTTCTACTAACGTAAGTGTTAAACACCTTTAGATTTGTAGTTTTTTATTTAGATATTATGTGTGTATCAATACCATCATAAAATTTGTTGTTATTTTTACTACAAGGTACGTATTGTGTCAGAAAAGTGGAGTTTGGGAGTCGGCCCAATCTATTTCAATTAATCCTATATGTTCTGTTTACGCATTTCTCGTTTTACGCGGACCTCCACGGGTTCAATTGAATGCGTAAATCCAGACTATACTGTATATGTATCAGGATTTAATTATTATTTATATGAAAATTTTATTTTATTTTATTTTGGTCGTAAATACGAATGAAATAAGAACGTAAATTGAATTGGGTCCTGAATTAACTAGGGTTTTAAATATGAAAAGTTGTTGGTTGAACCATTGTTATCAGAGTATTTACTGTACCTGTTTGATCCATTTTCAATACTTCTCAGTTGTAAAGAGTTCTTTACAGTCTGCGCAGAATATTGAATCGCGATAGGGCCGACGAACTAAGTTCTCGCGAAAATAAGATCACATGTTGTGAAGGCTGTCCTGAGATGCGAGATGTCAAAACGCTTGGTTTGCTGGCAAGTGGTGACATTTGGCAACTGAGAACACATCACGGCTTGTAGTCAGTGCGCCTCTGGCAACTGTGAGGGGAAGATTTATTGTGCGGGTTCCCGCGCCATGTGGCCATGTTTTGTCTAGTTTAAGGTGCATTAACCCGACATAGTGGCCATCAGAGATGTCCACGAGGGTTACTACAAGAGACGATATTGCAGCAGTGATTGTATTGTACAAAGGAAACCATGTACTGGGAGAAATTTCGGCTCAGACTGGTGTGGCATTACGAGTTGTTCAAAATCTTGTCAAACGTTTCCGTGACCTTGGATAGGACGAGTTACCAGCTCCATTACCTAAGTCTGGTAGGCCTAAATTATTGTCTCCACGGACACTTAGGGTTATTTCTCGACAAGATCGGTCCAATCCCTCACGTGAAGTGAAAGAGAGAAACCCCCCTTCTTTTGAGTCACGTCTCGTTACGTTGTGTTCAACAAGCCCTGCACGATGACCTGGGATTTAAGAGCTTTCGTGCCCGCCGTAAACCTCTGTTGACAAAGAGACAGAAGGAAAATAGAGTGAAATTTTGCAAGATATATGAAATGTGGGATTTAGAGTAATGGAAAAGTGTATTGTGGTCCGACGAGGCTACGTTTTCTGTGACTGGGAGTAGTGGTGGGAGGGTGTACCGCCCGCCCCACTCAGATGCACACCTCCCACAGTACACTGTAAAGACTGTTAAGCACCCTGCCTCGCTTATGGTTTGGGCTTCCTTTACGTATTATGGTGTTGGTGAACTCGTAATCCTCCCTAAGAACCAGTTGATGAATCAGTACAACTATCTTGAACTGCTCAGTGATTTCTTACCTGAATCATTTGATAAAGCTAAGGCAAGCCTTTTCATGCAGGACGGTGCCCCATGCCACACTGCTAAAAGTGTCATACAGTGGCTCAAAGACTGTGAGGTACCTTTCTTTAATGACTGGCCTGGCAGTAGCCCAGATCTTAACCCAATAGAAAATTTGTGGTCCATTGTTAAGCGTCGTCTGCGCGACGCTGACACATCATCAATCCCGAAGCTAGAGGCAGCCATCAAAGATACCTGGGCTAACTTGCCACCTGACCTCTTGCAAAACCTTGCTGACAGTGTTCCTCGAAGGCTAAAAGACTGTCTGAAGCGCAGAGGAAACACTACAATGTATTAATTGAAATGGTAAGTGTTACTTGACTTTATTTATATAACATAATCGTAAATATCAATATTTTTTCAGCACACGATCTCACATTCCGCGCAGACTGTACTTCTAGAAGAACTTAAAGGATGCTTTGGGGGCTCCATTTAGTAATACAAGAAGAAGAAGCAAAGTCCTTTAGTACTGTAGAATAAATATCTTAATATAAAAGTTCTAAGTGCATATACTGTATACAAACTTAAGCCCAGTAAAAACAAAATTTAGAGTGAAAGGTTAAATCACTTGCCTGCACATCCCTTTCTTCAATTTGTTGTGAAGTTGCCATAAACATGGGCAACCTGTACAGTTAAATGGAGCTGTTGGTATTCACTCTAATGCAAAATATAAATAAAAGTAAAATTATTCTACATTTTGTTTATTATGGTACATATTTGACATTTTGCAATAACAAATTATATATACTGTATTGGAAATTAACTTTCAGTACATTAAAAATATATTAACAAAACTGACAAGGTCAGAATCCCCTTTGTGGTAAAGGACTAGAATTTAAAAATTTAAAAATCTTCTACTCTTGTAGATTAGTGAGTAACAAAGAAAATTGGGTAATAATAATTTACTTTCCAATAACCTTTATACTGTAATTTATACACCAGTTGTTCTGCGGAAGCCAGTAACTTTAGTGATAATTATCAGTAGTTGGTGGAATACAGGTATATGAATTTAAAAGGAAATTTAGAATTATGAAAACTTATGGCACATAAACTTTTATAGGAATTGCATCTTTCTAGATAAGTATTATCATAACTTTGGGCTTCTGTATAAAACACTCGCCTGTTAACACTTTCATACCTACCTCATCCATTGACTGAATTCCATTCTCAATAGGTTATGGTTGTAAAACATTATTTATTTATCCTATTGTAAGGTGTCAACAGACCAAATCATGTCAAAGATAGTAACAGTACAAGACAGAGCAGTTTCACGAGTCAATTAAGGGCAGCTTTCCGCATTAACATTTCATGTCAATGATGATCATTTAACAGGACCATCTCTAAAATTAAATACTGTATATAATTATACATTTTATTTACATACCGAAACAAAAGTAAAATTATATTTTGTATGTTTGCCATTTTATATAAGGTATCTCTCAGCTTCATGTGGAACGAAAGATACTAGGGCCTTGCAGAGACCCATGAGTAGATGGATATTGTTGCTTTGTATTTTGGAGCTCAGTAGTGTAAAGCAAACCCTACCTGGCCACACATATCAGGTGACTTAGGTCGACCTTTACGTCCCGGAATACTTTGCCGTCGTCCTCCACCATTTGTATTACCCGATGTCCCTAGAAAATATGAATTTTAACATTGCTTGAGTATAATGTGATTATTAGACCATTGTGCTAGACTCAAGAAACTAATATTAAAGGCTGGAATTAATTGTAATAACTAACTGGATTGGAAATAAGTATGTTTACAGTACAGGTACACCTCGACTTACAACAACCCGGACATATGACCGCCGTGGTCGTATAAAATATTTTTCAAATTAAATTTTTTCTAGTACCGACGTTAGTGATCGCGCTGTGTACTGACAAAATTTTCGTTTGTAATTCCCTTTAAAATGGCTGGCAGCGTAAAAGTGAGAGTTCTCATGGTGCTGACAAGAAAAAGAGACACCCATTTTAGAATTTCTATGTATTATTTTCGCATTTTCGACTTACGACCTGGTTGTCGGGATGGAACCCCGTTGTAAGTCGAGGAGAGACTGTGCCTAACAACACTGAAAATGTCACTTCTTTTCTTAAATTTTTCGAACCAGCCTTTGCTGGCCCGAAAATCTTCAAATTCTGTGCCTGAAGAACCAGGTTGATCTGTCTTTAAATGTTCGTAAATCTCCCTGGCTCTTTCACAAATGAATTCAGTAGAAACTGAATCACCTTTCATCTGTTTTTCCCTAATCCAGATGAGAAGTAACCTCTCAGTTTCTGCAATTAGGGATCTACTTTTAAACACTCTGGTAGATTTGTCTCACTTTCACTTCTTTAAATTTGTCTTTCTGTGCAAGAATTGTTGACACAGTTGATGTCGACATGCCATATTCTTTGCATAGCGCATTAGTTCTAATGCCTTCTTCATGTTTTTTTTTATAATTTCCTGCTTGGTTTGCATTGAAATCGCTTTTCTTGTTCTCTTAGGCCCCATGCTGTATTCAAACAATGTCAACATGTGATTTTTTAAGTTTAAACTAGCTGTAAATAAAGAATAACACTGCACTGCGCTATATATTGTCAATATGTAAAATATATTTCAAAATGACCAATAACTTGCTTGGAAACACAGAAAAAAAGCATTTAATTGAAGAGAGCCTCAAGCAAGATGTTACATCCACTGAAAACAGAGAGAGACTAACGCTTCTTTGGTGTGTTAAAAGGCTGGATGGCGCGCCACAAACTAGTGATTTTACCTTCAATTATGTTCAATAAGTGTTAAAATGACTAAAAAATTTAATATTAAACTTTTAAAATTATTGAATAGTATAAACTTCTTAATATTTACTAAAATAGTAAGGAATTTAAGCCCTAGAACTGATTACTGTATTGGCGGACTAATACTACAGCTGGTTGACCGCCAAGTGCAAGCGAAAACATGTTGAGGTCAGCTCGTAAGAAACTCGTTAATCGAGGGATTGCTCGTTAACCGAAGTTAAGAATCTTATGGGAGGTAACTCGTTAACCGAGGCGCTCGTTAACCGAGGGATCACTGTACAGTACCCGGAAAAATTCCGGGGATGAGAAATTTTTCTCCATACCTGGAAATCTCTCAACCCTGGAACCACTCTGCACCAATTATTCCAACTAATGGGGATATTACTGTTGAGTACTGTATCTGGTTATTAACCTAAATTATTTTATTGATTTTCTCTCCTTCATTAATAATTTTGGAAATTTGATTTGGAAATTTGATCCACACACACACACACACAGAGGTGTCCCTCGGTTAACAAACACAATTGGTTCCACAGAGTAGTTCGTTAACCAAATCTATTATTTCAATGGAATATTGGATAATTGGTTACAACTCACAGAAAAAGTATACATACAAAGTACTGTATACCAGTAATAGAATTAACAAAACATTAAATATAAACTAAATACAGTACTGTACTGTATAATAATAAATAAAAACAATAGAATACTATATTTTAACTTACTTTGAGGTGTGTATGTCGTATTCCCGGCAGCTTTGTTTACATATCAAACAGCTGATTGTAGAGGCAGTCAATGATGACATGCCATATTCTTTACAGAATGCATTGGTTCTAATGCCTTCTTCATGTTTCATAATAATTTCTGCACTGTATACTATCAATAAGTGAACTAAATTTCAGAATGACCAATAATTTTAATGTAAAAATGCAAAAATATTCAAGAAACCAACAAACTGGATGTCCACTCCACTGTAAACAAAGTTAAACTCAGAAGCATTGGTGGGTGATTCAATCAGCTGATTGCCACAGAAAAACTGTTCCCTGTACTGTATATATTATCAATATGTTAACTAAATTAGAATGACCAATAATTTTAATATAAAAAATGCAAAAATATTAAAGAGCACAACTTTCTTGATATTTACTCCACTCGAAACGAATGTAAACATAGAACCAATTACTGAATTGGTGGACTAGACAATAAGCTAATGCGCACAACAAAGCATACGGTATTTCTCGTAAGGCTTTCGTTAATCAAAGTTTTGTTCGTTAGTGGAATTGAAAATCCTTATGGGACCTAATTCGTTAACCGAAATTTCGTTAATTGGACTGTTCTTTAATCAAGGGACCACTGTACTGTAGTTAGGTTAGGTTTGAGGGTAAATTTTTTGGGGGTTAAAACACATATCTGCCTTTAACATGGGATCTTATGGGAAAATTGGTCTTGTTAAATATTAATTTCCCTAAGGAGCACTTTTTCAAGAATGCATATTACTCATTAAGTGGGACCTCACTGTAATGTTACTTTTACTTGAAGTCCCAATGAAGAATTAAATCGTACATCTCTATAGGAAACAGTGATTAAATATTCATTGATATGATAACTTATCAAAACCCTTCTAATGAGCTATAGAAGAAAATACACTTACAAATTCCTGGTTGATTGGTGTTTCGCTCAAGCCTACTAAGACTGTTTCCCCGGCGGCGGGTTGGTGCAGCAATGTCCTTTTGGTGGTGCTTGGTAGGTTTTCGCGGAGGGGATTCCCCATCACTAGAAGATGCAGAACCACCTCGTCGTCTACGCTGATGACTCTGCAGCTTAGTCAGTGTCTTTCGTCGAGGGGGAGGTTTTACACGAGCCCTGTAATATGACATGTCCTGTCTAGAGCAACAATACCTGCAGTATACTGTCTATTGCTCAAAATAAAATCTAATATTGCACTGCTAAAAAGAAATTAATCTTATAACCATATGCATCACTGCAAATCATACAAAAAAGACAAACCTTTATTTATCAATGTTCTTTAATGGTTAAAGAAATAACATACAAAATATGTTCATACTGATAAAAAGCAATGGATGTTTACAGTACAATACTGTATTTTACTGGTACAGTAATGCACTCAGAAATAGCAGCAGACAATTATACTGTGCAGTATACCATGATTAAAAGTAAAAATGTATGTACAGTCCCCTTCACGATTGCATTACAGGGGCTTGTCTCACAAACATTCCACAAATCATTACATTGAGATATTTGTTTTAATATTGTTTTACTTTGATTCCATAGTATGATTACTATTGTGTTTCCTTCTGTCAAATATAAACAAACACAAAACCTAAAAGGCTCTGTAAATGCACTAGCGAAAGGAACTGTACATAAAATGGTAGCTTACTGCAAATAGCTGAGAAGAATCTTCACAAGCCATACCTACCTGGCCTTGCGAGGAGGACTGTCCAGACGTAAGCTAACCAGAGAGATGCTGTCATCACTGGGGTAGGGCACAGATCTGTAAGCAGATGTTCTTCACCTTAGCATGCAACAAGCAACTAGTGAAGTTTAGCTACCTAAGCATAAAAGTGTGGCTCAGGCTACAGAAGTGTACTTGCAGTGTCAGAATTAATGTGTGAAAAAGGATTTTTGTATTTATATCACATACCTATCATCTCTTAAAGAGTCTTCACTAATGAAAGCTATACTAACAACTTGGCATTTGCACATTACAATAAGGCTAAAGCTTGCCTAGCAAAATGCTAAATATAGATTCTTGTGAAGTTTCACATAACTACAATGGTATACAAAGAATAATACAGTATAAATGATCGATTCATGCAAAGAAATTTTACCCTTAAAAAGCATCACTACAGCGAACAGCCTCAGGGGTGTTCAGACAGATCAATTATTT